CCACTGGTTACAATTTTCTCCATTCTGAGTTTGGCTCATTTCTTGAAAAACAAGAAATTTACATTTCTCAAAAACATGACCCAAACCTCCAAACCACTTACAATTGTTTCACACAAAATTTAATTTCTCATTCATTTCATCAAATTGCAAAATGTCTTAGTACATCTTTGCAAAAACGATTTTAAGTACAAGGTTAGCCTTACAAGTTAGCAACCAGTTAGCCTTACATTTAAGCACAATTCCAAGCTCGCGCGGTGAATTTAGACCTTTGTTTTTATCTTAAACTGATTGTTGATTTTTCATTCTAAATGGTTGTGTTGTCTCCCGAAAAAACATTGTCAGCATCATTTTCATTGTATAAGGTTATTCACATGCAACAATAGTCTCTTCAAGTTGTCAAAATTAGTCAAAAAGAACCTAAAAATACCATTAATACCATATATGAAATCTCTTGAACATTTTTGATTAAAATTGATTTTAATTGACAGTTCAGCGTGGAAAATTAGAACTTGACTAAACGAAGGAAGGAAGTTTTACACATCTCAGATTACCTATCAAGACAATTATGTTTTAGTTACCTGACAAGATGCTGTCCATGATTGTGAATGCTGCCAAAACGTGTATATATCTAAGAGGCTGACCCTAGGACCAGTTACAATTCTGAACATGGAGGCCAAAACTGCCAAAGTCAATTTGAACAAGGGCAACTGCCCTGCTCGAGGAAAAAGGAGAAGAAGAGGGAGAGGAGTAAGGGTCGTGTGGTAGAACAGGGGGAAGAGGCTGAGGAGCACGAAAGACACCATGCTTTTCCGGATTTTGAATTCCGCGCCAACACTTACTAGACCACGTTATTCAACCATCGCCTTTCCAGGGGATATTGAAAGAAGCATTCAGAATTGACCAGTGAATGCAACTTTACCAGAGCTGCGGACCGTAATGTACATGTTAAGTTCAGTTAACTGGCTTGATTTATCATTATAACCTGACTTTTTTTAACTTCCGTTGTAAGAGAAAATAAAGGCAATTGAAAGGAAACAAGACCCCTCACAATCCTTTGTGTTTGGGAATGAAGCTGGCTTTACCTGGCCAAGGCCGAAGATGTGGCCGTAATATTATTGCCACCGCCACGCGGGATGTCCCAGGCCAGCGTGGGGGGCAATAACTTATGTGTGCTGGCCCACTCACATCCCCAAAGTCTTGGGCCCATAACAAACACCGAAAGCTTCCTTCAATCTTTCTTGGACCCGCCTTCATCTTAATTTGATCCTGAAAAATTGAGAGAGAGGTTCTTTGTTTAGGCCTCACACTACCAAATTTATGTAATTGTGTTGGACAATGGAATTTCCACCGTGGCCCGCTCATCAGGTCCATGTTTTTTTTAAATATTTCGCTTTTATTTACCAAGCACTGTAGGCTACATATAAATCATAATCTTTTTCCTTGTTTTTTGTTTAATGTGTTTTATATTACAGCTATATTTGCTGTATACATTTTTCTTTTTAACTCCCCCTATTGTATGGAGTTATTTTGTGTCGTGTTGAATTAAAAAATGGTTTTACAATTTTCCTTGGGCATTATGAGTTGCAATGTGTGTGCAAACCTTTGGAGGGTACTTCTAACCGTAAAATTCCTATTTTTTTCCCTCAGTTTTATACACCAATTGTAAATTCTGTTAAAGCTAGACAAAAAAAAAAAAAAAAAAAAAAAACTGGCTACGACTGAGACGGGGACATCCGGAGGATTATTTCAATGGTTCTCTGCCATAGTTGACAAAACATCTTAAAACATTTTATTGCAGTGCTCACACAATGCCAAAGGACAATGCATTTTGGTAGCACTGACTATTTATATGGGAAAGGAATTTAGTTTTTTGAAAGCATGAGTGAACAGTTTTGGGAGAGATATGAGCTTTTGCAAGTGAACTATGGTGTTGTGCTGAACTGTAAGACTGTTTTGCCAAATGATCTCAAGAAATGAGCCAAACCAATGGAGAAAAACTGTAATACATAGCTTAATAGATTTCTGTCCTAAAACCCTGAACTGAGTCTGTTCTCAGTGACAGAAGCTAATAAAAATAACAATCATTGAGTAAGAAAGTGAAAATATTCAACAATAATAGGCCAATTAGGCTTAATTGAATTTACATTCTTTCTACTTCTCGTCTGCTTTGAGAAATTCTGACTCTTGGACACGTTCGTTTTAGCCCCCTTCAGTCTGACACCGGGGCAGATAAACCGACGTACCTTCAGCTGGAGCACCATCTCCATCCGGTACCGGCACAGAGGACTGATGTCATTCAGGATCAGGGCTGTGATGATGTCGATGCCGTTGGACTCGTGGGTAACTATACACGTCTGCAACACACACACACACAAACACAGACACAATAATGATGAGTCTACTGGTCTTATACACGAATCCATTAGTGAGTTGGTCGTAGTGACTCAGCAGCATTACGGGTAGTAGGCCTCCTATATGGATGGAGATCTTAACGTAATTTAGAAATAGAGAAAAACTGAGCCACGTTTCCAATAATGTATTCAAGGTAAATTAATGAAAGTCCTGACATCCTCTGCAGGGAGTCTGTGTACAGCGTTCGGTCTCAGACTCTTCAAACACTGAACTTGTGTGTTTAAGTTGAAGTTTGCAGCGACTATTAGAGCAGGTGATAACAGCTTCTTCCCCATTTAATAGACATTACGTTACAAAGGAAGTAAACAGCAGAAAATTGTTCATATCTCAGGACGACTTGCTAAGAAACGCGTATATATCGTAGGAGGACGCCACTGCAGTGATGGTGACCTGTTTACAGTACTCCTCCGTGTACCACGGCCGTTCAGATGTTGCATCTTTTGTGCACAAATACATCATTTTGAATGGAGACGGGTTGTTTTCCTGCTAAATTACCGCAACTTCATCATCATGCAGCCTGCAGGTTTTGGTTGCCGAGCAATAACAGGTGCCTCGGATAAACACTCTATCTGAACGGCCCCTAACTCAGTGACAGAGCCCCCCTCCTGGCCTTCAGTCTACCTGGTTCTCCTGACAGGGGCCCTGGCAGTACTCAGTGAGTGTCTCCAGGGTCTGAGTGATCAGGTGGACGTTGGATTCGTTGATGTAGAGGCCTAGCAGGCCCAGTCCTCCCGTGGTGCTTCCACACATGATGTCCAGGAACTGCAGAGTCTCACACACCAGGTTGTAGTTGGTCTTATTGTTCTGGCAGCGCAGGAAGTTCTGGAAACACACAAAAGTCCAAAAGCCAGTCTTGATAAGCAACCTGTAGATTCTGGTTTGTTATCACCAGCCGGTTGAACTGACCTGCAGATCGTGGTTGTGGTTCTCACACAGCAGCTGCAGGAACCTTAGGATCGGTTTCATGATGGTCACAGCGGGTCCCATCTCCGTCTCCACCTCCCTCTGCTCCGCTACTGGCTGGACCGGCAGGGCTGTGGCGCCCGGCACCGGGGCAATGGACTGGCCCTGGACCAACAATGGGTGACCTGCTGTACCAGGAAGTACTAGTGCTGTAGAGCCGCCTTTACAGACGGGGAAAACAGAAGTTCTCACCTCTGATCTCTAAACCTATTAAACATCAAATATCTAAAAAGAGACGGAAATAATGAAACAATAATCTCACCAGTCTCCAGCTCCTTCTCGTTGGCCTTGTGCGTCATCTCTCCGACGTTAACAGACACCGTAGCTTTTATGTCTGTCTGAGCTTCTTTCATCCGGTCGTGAAGAACCTTGAAGAACTTCTCCGACTTGTTGTCGCCCATCATCAGTTTGTAGAAGGAGTTCTGCAGGAGGACATTCACAGAGAGAGAACTGACCCACTTCATGCTTTACACAGTTTTAGTGTGAATACTGTGGTCCATAAACAGTGTTTTATAGGTATACACAAGCAGAAATGGAAAGCTGAGACTCTTGTTGATTCAATGAGCCCAATCGGAGTCATCTGTGAGGACTTTCGTCCCCATAGTAACCATTTCATTGTGAGCTCTAGGGTAGTCATAAACTACACACTAGAGACCAGATCAAACTGATCCCGGTCTAAAGGACTCACCTGTATCTCCGTGTTCCCTCCCTCCAGCAGACAGATGGCCACCTGGATGCTCTCCTGGAAGATCTTGTCGTTCTTGGTGCTCATCACCAGATCGGTGAACAGCTTCGTTCCTCCTTCTCGGTCCAGACGACACTGAACCGCCGCCACCGCCGCCCAGTCCCGCTCCTGCTCCCCGCCTGACACACACACAGAATTCACTTAATCAGGGTTTCCGTGTGACTGCCAAGAGTCTGCTGCAAGTGGTGTGAACAGCTCGTAACAAGATTTTTTGTCATTTAAGATGCTTCCCGCCACTGGGATACTCAGGCAATCTGTGTTTTCACTGTTATAAAAAGAATGAGCAAGTAAAATGTTTATTGTGTATAAAAATACGGGTTCTGTTCTTTCTTTTGATGTATTCACTGTTATCTATAGAACAATAATAATATTCTGTGTGTGAAAGATTAGTTCATATGATCACTGCTGGCAACTTCACATTTGTTGCGCTTTTGGCCATTTTATCTGCTCCTTCATCCCCTTTTATACCAACATGAGCAGGTATCCAACATAATCTGTGTAATCTAAACAGGCTCTGATACATTCATAAATAATATGAAGTCTCCTCTTATTGATTTTATACTGCAACAGACACAGAAACCCACTGTAGTCCTGTAATTACTGCCAATATTCCAGCTGTATGAACGGATAAATGTTAGTTTTCATTTATCTGCTCACTGTGGGTCAAACTCTTCCATCAGAGCTCATTATTTATCTGAAGAATATCTGCTGTTTGCCATCAAACAGCACAAATCCAGACTACCTGTTAAAACTGAGATTAAACTGCATTTCGTCAGAACCATCAGATCCTCACTTCCTACTGTGCTTCCTCTTCCTGTCTGTGATGTAATTTCCCTTCAGCAGACAGACAGGTAATCAATCAGTGAGATGACTGACACCTGTCTCTCTCTCTCGCTCTCTGTCTGGCTGTTGTTTCGCAGTCTGACAGCAGATGTCGCTGTTTCACTTCACAACATCTTCTCATGAATGTGTCGGTTGAAACTGAATTAATAAAATAAAGTGAGCGTGAAGCAGCGTACCTGCAGCTCCGAGCTCAGCCAGGTCATTCTTCGGGTTGTTCTTCTTGTTTGGAAACAAGTAGTTCTGCAGCAAAACCTTCCGCAGCGCGATTCCCTGAAACACCAAAGACACTTTAACCCGCCGTCAGATCTCGTTTTAAAGCTAATATTTCATTATTTCTCTTTAAAGAACAACGACACAGAAAACATGTGTCTTTTTCTTTTATATGTAAAAAAAGTAATAAAATAAATGATCTAAGAGGCACCAGAGTTTTTTCAAATACTTATATTAGACACAATCTTGCTTAACATTGAAGTGGATTTTTCTCTGCAAGTCATAATACACAAAGTGATGTTTGTATATAAAATATGTCTTTAATTAATAAAAGGTAAGACTGGGTGGTGGGAAATATATATCAGTTTATGTGTAAGCTATTTTTAGTAAATTTTTAATAGTAGTCAGTAGTTTAGTAATATTTTTGCTGCTTTACTTTGCCATCAGACAGCTCTTTATGGCGGGTTTATATTGATCTACACTCTCTTCAAAGCCACCAGACTCCATTGACAAAAACAGTAATTTTACCTCACAGAATACAGGAGTGGCTGGTCTGCTGCCTCGACCCACAGCAACTAAAGTCTGTTTAGATCCTAACTAACATGTTAAAACACTAAATTCACACAATAACACAGATAAATGAACCGATCCAGGCAGCGGTGAACCAGCACCTTCCATGTTCTGCAGAGTAAAATCATTGTTTTTGTCATTGGAGTCCACTTCAGTTTCCAGTTGAAAAGGGCTGTCTGACGGTGAGGTATATTATTCTATATTATACAGAATATAGAATATTCTAAATATACACTTTTACCAAACAGGTACCAAACATTTTGCTGTTTGGTACCTTATAAAACCTGAACTAACCAAACAAAACAAAAACAGAAACATGTTAAATGTGTTAAAAATGTGTTTCAAAAGGTAAAAGTTGCTCTGGTGATATTTTTTTACTGTCTGTCAGTTATTCACTGTTTAACTGACCTTTTCATCAAAGTCCAGAGTCCTGATCAGCATCTCCTGCAGAGTCCTCAGGACTTTGATACACAACTTCTCCTCTGAAGACATCAGAGCTTTGGTGTGCTGGATCAGCCTAAAAACAAACACACACACATATATCACATATATATTCTTCCTATCACCCCCTGTCGGTGTGTCAGTAACGTGGGAGATTTTGAACCTACTTGGAGATGAATCCTCCGGACTCGCAGCGCTGTCGGGCGTCGGTTCCCTCCAGGAACAGGAGCTCTGGTTGGTGAAGGACGTCCACCAGCACCGACAGCTCCGCGTTCACCAGCGGCTTCAGACGCTCCTCCAGAGTGTTGATGATGTCCTGTAACACGCACATTTTACTAAAAATTTGAAAGATTCACTCCCGAAAAACAGATTTTATTATCTCATTGTGGTTAAATAAATGAAATAAAATCATTAAACAAAGCATATGTGATTGTTTGTTCTTGACTTTATTTTCTACACAAATGGTCTCATCTGTCATATTCAGGTCTGTGCCAGCAACTGTTATCAGTTTTATGTTAAATCTGTGTGTTTGTTCCTGAGCTTGTTTTCACACTGATTGCCTACCTGCAGTTTCTCTATGATGTTCTTGTAGTCCCAGGGGTTGCTGGGAGCGATGGTTCTGGAGGAGCGGGACGAGGACTTGTAGTTCGGGTTGGAGCGGGACAGAGAGTTGAGAGCAGACGTGGATAACATGGAGCTGATCTGAGCCTCCAGGTCCAGAGGAAGAGCGATCGAACGACTCTTAGCTACAGAGAAACATGTGTCAGTGTCAGTCTCCGGGAGGTTTCATTTGCTATATAACAAACAGTGGTGGTAAGTTACTAAAAAACTAATTTGTTACTAGTTACTTTCCTAAAAGTAACTGAATTACTTTTACCAATTACTGCGTATAAAAGAAGAAACACTGAGTTCTGACTGGAAGGCAGGCAAACTTTTCATTAATGGAGTCAGAAGTACGAAAGTTTGCCCAACCAAGAATTTAAAGTACCAATACCTCAGTACTCAGTTACTTTTCAGACATTGTGTGTGTCGTGTGTGTGTAGTAGTGTGTGTGTGTGTGTGTGTCCGTGTGGAGGAGCACCCTGTCATCGGCGAGCGTCCTGATGGCAGGTCTCCACCTGTCCTCCCGGTGCTGCTGCTGCAACGCCACGGGCAACAATCAACAGCCGGCGACAGACGCCACTCGAGAGCAGCTCTGGGTTACCATCGGCGTGTACCCAAGGGGGTGTTACATGAGTCTGACAGAAACAGAAAAGGCTGATGAGTAAGATAAATACACAACTCCTGCAGGTGCATCTACCTGCTCCCCTTCAGCCGCACAGCAACAGCAAATATCTTATATAGCAAGATGGAAGATAAGCTGACAGCCTCTCCAAAAGTGGACCAAACCTCTTCTACACTCTCCCCCTGGTCTACTCAACATCAGTTATAAAACGTGTTCCTTATTCAACTCATTTTCAAATCCACAATTTCGAGCCAAATCATTTCCAACGTGGCAATCTTGTGATTGATTTTATTCTGTCCATTATTTACTCCTACCTTTATTGTCAGCACAAACTGCTATCGTTCTTATGTTTTTAACTCTACTCTTTAAAAAGTGGCTCTCTGATGTTGGTTGCAACTCTGTTCCAACTCATATCATCGAACTTTTAATCTTACTTATTTATTGCCTCGCTATTCTTCTTTTTGTTTACTTAAAAAACACCACTAAAAATATTGTCTATTATTATTTCTCAACATTTCATACTCAAATGTAAATACATGCTGGGAAAAATCAACTTAGATATTGTTCCTTAATTCTAAGAACCCCCTGTGAACCTTAATAGTGTTCTTCGCTTACACACCACCAACCTTTGCCAACACCTTGAGTCACACTGTGATACAAACGCGGCGCTCCGCCAGAGTGCACTCATAGGTCCCTGACCTGCAGAGAGGTGCCTGTCTCTCGGAGCAAAGGGGAGCTGAAGAAGGCGTTGGATGGTTCAACAAGACCACGTTGACTCGCATGTATTTCTCCAGGATGCGGATCAAGAGAGACGCTTCTCTCGTTTGTTACAAACCCTGCAGACCGAACAACAAAGAAATCACACAAACACATGGCACACCTGTGGTGTGAGCACATTAAGTGGAGTGAAAGTGACTCAATCATACACTGATTACCCCTGCGTTTTCTCCCAGTCAGTCTTTGTCTTCTGTGTATACAATGACTGCGTCTCCGTCAGAGCTTGTTAGCCTGGCCATGTCCACCGTGAGTCTTCAAACAGCTTCCAGATGATAGGTTCGATCGTGTAGATTTCCTTTCATCTCAACCTCTTGTGGTCCACGTAGCAGTGATGGACAAAGTTCACATAGGCCACTTTCACACTGGAGACAGACAGACAGACAGACAGACAAGACAGACAGACAGACAGACAGACAGACAGACAGAGACAAAGACCAGACAAAGAGAGAGTTTAATAGCTTTTAGTTCTTGGCCATTTTCGACAGCTGCAGTAGGTATTTTACGAGCCTAACTAGTTAACGGCCTTTAACATCACCAGTTAGGTGCGTGGGAAAGCAAACAAGGTCCAGTCTGGAAACTCCATAAAATCACCTCCCTAAGATGAAGATTTGACGGATTGAGTATAAAAGTATAGAAAATACAAAAAAATTTATGTGTTTTGTACATTGTTTGACATGGACTAGACTTATAATATTAATTGTGAGGAACACACAACGCAGTCAGTACCGTTCGGTGATGCAGTCCCTCATGTGTACCACCACTCTCCACCACATCAAGATACCGGTCTCAGACAGGCAAGGCGATCGTACATCTTGATCTCAGTGAAGACGTTCTTACATCACCACAAATCAGACTAACACAACATAACTGAACTCACACATAACGTACACCACACCCACGACCGTTCCCTCAGTACACACAGGCTGCCAGCCAGATTCCACAGAAGAGATGTGATAACTGCAGACCCGTAAGAAACAAGAAACACATTCAAACTATGGACGAAACAAACACATACTCATGAGTCTACAACCTGATAAAAAAAAATTCTCACAAACAACCCAGACGTCAATGTAACAATATAACGATCAAACTTCTGATCTGAAATTAACTGCGAGTTAGGTATCATTCAGAGGAAGTCGCAACAAGAACTAAAAAAACTAAGTTTTGTGTTTGAACAATAAAGACGTGAATCACAAAGTCAATAACGTCACAACCTTCATACACATTTTAGTGAATTTCAGAACAAGGACGTTTGCAGCTAAGTAAGTGACTGAAAGTCTAAGGATTTAATTTCCACCAACTCTTGACATCTTGTCCA